AGTTGTTGGAGTTGTGATCCTCATCGCCTTCCCCACCCCCCATTTCCACCCTTCAGAGAACCCCAGGTGTTACTTGTGATATCAGAGCCTCTGGATCAGTTGCTCTGGCTAATTTTCCCATGTGTCATCGAAATTGATTAATTTCCTATGCATATCTTAACTTGTAAAAGGTTAGGAAAAACTAGTTATTGTTCTGTATTATAATTTGGAGATCCTGGCAGGGTGCCCTATGGTGGTCCTCCTTTTTGGATCTATAGAGGGTGTGCTTTAAGTTTCCCCTTAAACAGAATTCCCCCAGATGATGCCTGATCTAAGGACTTACCCTGCTTCTTTGGCTGGGGCTAGTGAGCCCCAACCTTGCCATGTTTAGCACTGCTTCACAAAGTATTATATATACAACCTCACTTCTTGATCTTTCAGAATCTAGAAACCTTGGTATGCAGACTGGTTCTAGTGGTCTGCATTGTCAGGAATGAACTCTTTTTGAAATTTGAAATTTTCAAGTGTAATATTGTTACTGCAGTTCACCTGCTAACTTCTGGTGGGTGGGAGGGGGTGTGTGTGATAATAGTCTTATCTTCAATTCTGGGCTAGTTGCTATAATTCAACAAAAGCTGAATTGATTTAAAACAGCCTTCTAAATACAGAACATATTTCTCCTTCAGTTCTAGCTAAAACATGGAACCTTTAAACAAAAGATAAATTTTGTCAATAGGATAGCAAGAGAAAATATATGACTTTCAATAAAAATGGTTTTGTACCTGTCTTTAATGTCCACTATGAATGTTTGAAAGTATATATCCTTAGAGTATTATGTGAAAAGAAGCTATAAAGAAGAAATCAACATTCTCATCAATCTGGCACATTGAAAACCTGCTTTTTAGGATATTTGCATATGAGCTTTTAAAGAAGTATCCTATGTTTAATGTAAGAGAAATCAACTTGGTGTAGTTGATTTCCTAAAAACCCTCAGGGTCTAGTGACTTGAGCAAAAGACAGAAATGTCAAACATCGCAGTTTCAACTTATTTTCTGCCCCATCTTGTTTTGCAGCCACAAGAAACAAGGTAGAGACTAAAAATGGAAAGAAAGCGCTTTAAAAAACCATAAATGTTCTACTTAGATATCTTTCCTTAGGTCAGGTGGTAGTTGTTGCGGTTGTTCAAGGACCAGAATCCAGAAGAAACTGGGTGAGGCACTGGATTCGTCTTTCCCTTTGTGAGTCTCAGAACATTGCATTTTCCCCTGCTTGTTTTGGAGTTTCGTTCCCTTTCCCAACAGATTGCTATCATCAGGAAATTGGAAAACACTGTGACCTGGCACTGAATTTGCCATAAATTTCTCTTAATTAAATGGAAAATTTCGGACTTGTATCAGCGAGTTGTTCTCCAGCACAGATCGCAACTTAACAAAGGGTATAAACATTCATAGAAAATTCTTGTCTAGCTCTGCCCATCGGTTCATCTTGGTATCAGTTTCTCTTTTATCAACAATTCTTTTTCAATTGTGCATATTGTCATTGTGCACCAAATTGGGTATATAATTTGGACTCAAGTCTTTATCTCAGGAAACGTCTTCTGTTTTGAAAGGGGAGAAAAGGAAATGATTGTGAGATGAGAAATATGACATGATCAGAAATCATATTTTCTTCAAGTGGAAAAATCTTGTGAGGTTGTAACAGTTGGGCACAGGATTATACAGATCCTAATGAAATAGTTGCTGTCTTCTGTGGCATCAGTTTAAAATGGCCAGAGGGTGTTCATCGGGCACTGACGTTATCAACATCCTTAGTTTAGGTCAGACCACACTTTCTCTACCCAAGAATCAAATCAGCTATTTCTCCAAGGAATTGTGGTTCCAAAAAAAAAGAATTCTTTTAAATGTAGAGTCTCCCTTCTCTCCTCTCACTGGTTTAGGTTCAGATCAGGATGACTTGTTAGGTCTGAATATCCCGGATGTCTCGGGGCAAAGGTGGGGCAGGGTGAGGTGAGTACTATTTGCTGTGTTCTAAGTATTCTTCCAGTTTCAGACAGTTTCTTTCTCATTGGCAGCCTACTATTGATAGTAATACCTCCCTTCTCTGTCCATCTCTACTGCTGATTTTTCTTGGTTTTCATTCTTCCATCTCCCTATTCATTCCGCTTTGATCGTTACTTTTATTTTTTATATATACACTTTGGATGTAGGCTTTAAGCTTGCATAATAACCATTTCAGCAGCCATTTCAGTGAAGAGGGCATTTTACCCGCATTTTCCTAACCTAAATCTCTTTCCTCAAATGGAGGCTTGAAGTCTCACTGTGTAGAAAGGAAGGGAAATTACAGGTTTGTGTGTGGACATATATTTTCACTTTTCAAGAAAAAGGGGGACATTTCAAAATCTGGTGAATCAAGAACAGATATAAAAAATTGATAAAGATAGGGACTACCTGTTTTTGTATTCTGCCATGTAGCATGTATTCAAATAATTATACCTATAATTTGTCTTCAAATACTCATGTTTAACTCTTAGACTGTATAATTGTGCTGGCTTTTTCAAGAATAAAATTCATATTCTGAGTCCAGGCTAATATGTTCACTAAAAGCATTACTAAAAGCATTACTGCCTATGGTAAAGCTAGAAATAAAAATTGCTTTTATATACATTATAGCTGGCAGAGACTCTTGGGACTACCACAAATCATTCCTGTCTATTGGAGTTTGCTGACAAAAAGCATGGAAATGTAAAACCAGCATGGTCTGTGATACAGACTTTGAAAACTTATAAGCTTGTTCAGACCACTATTCATTCTATTGTTATTGTTGTAAGATGCTAAATATTCAACAAGCTCTTCTAATTCATATGTTCTCTGAGCTTAGTGACCTATCCTTTCTTGACAAACCAGCTCCTCTTCTACAAACCATTTGTGGCTCCTTTTTTTGTTAAAGGTTAATAATGAGAATAATGAAGCAGTTGGCTATTTATGCAGTCATGATTGGCAAAAGTTATTAGAACAGGAATCTGCCCAGAAGCAAAGATTAGGTTAGGAAAATGTTAAGGAATACTGAAATCAGTCACCATTTTTGACATTTAAGAAACACTATTTCCATCCTTAATCATAATGACCTGTTGTAAAAGTATGCATATAAAATGATCTCATTGCACAGTAATTTTTATACCAACAGCATACATACATTCATGAATATAAGGGGGAGATTCAGAAATAATCTGAGTGAAAAATGGACCTGGGGAAGAAATTACTGCTATGAGAAGGACAGAACTCTCCCTTGGATAGAACTCTTTCTGGTGGACACTTAACCTACACAATTAGGTCATGCTTCTAAAGTAGTTTCTGCATCTTAAGCACTTCATAAGTTTGAGGACATAGGTGGATGGTGGCCCAGTTCGATTTTTATATTCTTTGTATTAGTATGTGAAAGGGAGCATAGTATACAGAAAGAAAATTTCCTTTAAAAAAGAGTGTCCTAATGATCATTTTATTAATGAAACATTGACTTAGCTGACATTATGCAAAACAAATCAAACAAGACAAATATCTGATTATAATCCCTATCTGATTATAATCCCTATCTGATTATAATCCCTATCTAATTTCAGAACATGTTCATTACCTACCCCCAAGACCGATACCATTGGCATTTCCCTGGCAACCACAAATGTAATTTTTGTCTTTATGGATTTGCCTGTTCTGAACATTTCCTTTTATTTTCAACTTTTCTCCTGTAATAGGTATTTTTAAAAATTGGAGAATAGTGTAGAAAGTGGGTATAGATGAATATAACTCTTAATTGTAATCTGGTATACCTAGAACTGACTATTTTTTCCGCTAGCTCGTTGGAAGTGGTATTTTTAAAAACAATAACAGCTTCATAGAAATAAAATCATGCAATATGTGGCCTGTGTCTGATTTCTTAGCTTCATGTATTTAAAGTTCATCCATATTTTAGCATGTAACAATACTTTGTTTCTTTTTATGGGCAAATAATATTCTAATATATAGATATATACCACATTTATTTATCTATTTATCACTTGGTGGACTTTTTTTTATTTTTTTACTTTTCACTGTTATACTCGCTCTGAATGCTGGTACAAGTTTTTATATGACATATATGTTCAGTTCTCTTGGGTGTATATCTAGAAGTGGAATTGCTGGGTTATATGTCTGTGCCTTTTTTTTGGTTTCATTTGTTTTTGTTTTTGAGGCACTGCTAACATTCCTACATTCCTATCAGCTACAAAGGTAGGTAACTAATTTCTTATTGTTGGTTTTTTCACTTTAACCATCCTAGTAGAATGCAAGTGGTATCTCATTGTTTTTATTTTAATTTTTTCCCCTGTGACTAATGAGGTTGAATATCTTTTCTTCTGATGCTTGGCCATTTATATATTTTCTTTTTGGAAATATCTTTGTAAGTTCTTTGCTCTTTTTAATTTTAATTTAATTAAGGTAATCATCTTTTATTGTTGAGCCCTATTAGGTTTTTTATATATTTAGGATACCATAATAGTTCTAAATCATATATACATATATAACTTGCAAGTATTTCTCTCATTCTGGAAGTTGTCTTTTCAATTTCTTAGTGGTGTCCTTTGAAGTGCAGAGCTTTTAATTTTTTTGTTTATTATGTGGTTGCTGTTCTTTTAGGTGACCATTGCTTAATTCAAGTTCACAAAGGTTTACTTTTACCAATGTTATGCTTTAGTTCTTACATTTAGGTCAGTGGTACATTTTCAGTTAGTTTTTCTTTGTGGTATAAGGGTAAGGGTCAGTTTCATTCCTTTGAAAAATTTTTGAGAAATTTCTTTTCAAATGGGATGACCATACTCTGTGAATTAGAGTTTTTTTTGTACTATGTTCATCTGAAAACTAGTTACCTGTACTCTCACCAAGTGTGATTACATTTTTATCTATTTTTTGTTTATTGGGATCTGAAAAGTGCCACTGATGAATGCAGTTTAAATAAGCTTAATATTTTTTTTCCTTAATTTACAATCTCACCTCTTCAACTGCAATATAGAGAATGCCAAGAACTTTTAAGCCTATATCAGAAATACCTATCAGAACAGCAGGAGAAGCTCACCATGTCTCTCTCAGAACTTAATGCTGCTAGAATGCAGAAACAACAGGTAAGCATCTTTATTCTTACCTTTTCTTGTCTCTAATGGATCAGCAAGATGTCAGAAGAGTCATTTGCCTTTTTCTTTGTCTCATGGTATATAATATTACCTTAAAACATACAAATAAAGCACATGATTCACTTGGTATCTTTTATTTCCCTCTCCTTTTCCTTTTCTGTTCCTGTAGCCCAGAGATCAGAAGGCTTTAGTCAGTGGGAAAGTTTCTGGTGATATGAAAGCAAAGCAGGAATTGTAAAGAAAACTCATGGTTCTGTTGCTTAAAGAAAAAGATCAAATAGGATGTTTGTTACTCCTTGTCCATATGGAAAACACTCATAAGCTTTTCCTAACTCAAGTTTACATTTTATAATAGTAAATGTAACTTGTTGGCTTAAAAGTGTTAGTTAGAGAGCACTACAATATTTTGTGTCTTTTTATGTTTTTCTATTAATTACATTATTATTTGCAAATGTTTATATATAAACATTTATATACCTATCATCAAATAATATATATTATATAATTAAATGAATGTTCAGAACCCTGCTAGTTGCTATGTGAAACAAGTTCTAAAGGCATATTTATTGTTCTCAAGAAAGTAATAATACTTGCTGTCTTTTTCACATCTACTTGCATTTAAATCTTCAAATGGCCACAGCTGAGTCTTTTATATTAAAACATTATGGAATAAACTGTAGTAAGGTCAGAGTCATTCATATTGAGTATTAAAATGTGGATAATGTGCTCAGGTGTTATCTTCCTGCTTTGAATAGTATCAAGTCCTGAAAACCAGACTTTAAGAGTTTTTTTGTAACCCTTCTAAAGAACACCATTGCTGTTCAACCTAGAGACAGCTGTCTCAGGTGGGTTAAGAATTTTAGTCAAGAAAATAATGTCAGGTAATGTGCTCTCAAAATAAGTCTTTTTAAAAACTTACCTCTAAATTTTGTGGTGGAGATGGTAGCAGTTTGTTTCTTTATGAAGCATTCATTTGAGTCTTATTCTGTTTCTTCTTTGTGTTGGTTGTCATTTGGCCTCAAGTTGCATGTTATAAGTTTTGCTTGGAGTTTTATAATTTCCACAGTCCTACCGAAGAGCGCCTAGCTTATGATTTTGTTTTCCAGTTTCTACCATTTCTTTGAAAAAAAATTGTCGATTTACAAAGTGAATATTTTTTCTTCTTTTTTACTATATCCTCTTTCTTGCTTTTCCTCCAAGATGAGTCATTCTACATTCATTTTGTAATTTATCCAGCATTACAAATTCTTCACTATGAATTCTAGAAAGGTTTTTCATTTGCTCTTTTTTCAATTCAGATATTTGACTGATATATGTCTTTAACTTCATTTCCTTGTCATAAGAAACAGTACTTCCCCACAGTTTCACCTTGATCTTGGATGTGAGAACATCTAGTATGCAGAGTTTTGGCAGATGTACATTTTAGAACATACCTTTTCTTATCAAATTGAATTTAAATTTTTGTTTTCTTATCACAATTGAATGTTATATTTTTATGTGTGAATCTAAACTTGAATGGTGTCACCTCAAGCCATAATGCTTATGATTTCTATTTTAGTCTTATTTGACAGGCTATACCATTTTAGAAATTTTATACTGTTTCCTCAGTATCCTTTATATTAAGGGAAAGCCTTAGAAGCATTTTGAGTACTTTTTTCCACGTGTTCAAAAAGATTGGTATGTAAGTTTACCCTTCTTTTTTTCTTTTGTCAAGTAGATATAAAAGAGGTAGAATTTGATTCTTCCTAAGATTTCTCTCTTTGCTATAAAGTCATCACCACTTTTTAGCACCAGATAATGTCTGTTAATGAATCTCTTTGGTTCTGATCTGGTAAAAGACAGTTTATAGAAATTTTTGCATTTTTCCCATGATCATGTAAACCATGTTTCTTAATTTCGTCTGGGCTATGGGCTAGAAAGAAATCTGAAATGCACTAAAGATAAATCATTACTGAGCACATGTTTAATATTTCTTGATGGTTTCTATTACTATTGTGTCACAGGTTTAATTAGAAGAGTTTTTGTGGTGGTTAGGGCCACAGTGTTTTGAAACTACTTCCTATTCTGTGGTGGTTTTCGTGTATTCTTTTGGCTAAATATTTTTATTCACCACATGTACTCATGTGACAGTAGAATTCATTATTTATATTCCACCTAATTTTATTTGTGTATTTCATGTGTAATATTTCAGTTCTATTTAATACTGAACTATCTTTGACCTTTTTTTAAGACACAAGCTTTGTCTTTGTTTTAAGTAGTCCAGATTCTTTTGGCAGTCTAAAAGTGTCATCATACTTCTGACAAAGAAATCAAGTCAAAGACAATATCATGCTCAAATATATTACTGACTCAAATATATTACTAAACTGCTCACAGAATAAGTGGTCAGTAGGTAGAATAAGAAGATGATAAACAGCTGACTTTTCTTCAGAAACAACGTAGGAAAGAGGCAGTGGGATGGCATATTTAATGAGCTGAAGAAAAAAATAATCCTGCAATCAAGTACAATTATCCTTCAGAAATGAAGGTGACATAAAGACAGTCCCAAATAAAAAAAACTTAAATTTTTACTAGCTTTCCTGCATTATAATAAATCCTAATTAAGTAGGTTCAGGTGAAAGGAAATGACATTAGGACACTAACAAATTCACACAAAATCTGAGCATTGATGAAGGTAATTTTGTTTTTCTCTTTGCTTAAATAATTTGTAACACGTGAATAAAACAGTAATTACAAAACTTTATTGTTGAACTAATGAGATTTAAAGATGTTGTGTTGTGCACTCCCTTGTGTGTATGTATTGTACAAAGGAAAAGGGAGGAAAGGGAGATATATTGGAGGAAATTTTCTATAAATTATTTGAATAAAGCTACTATTTGAAAATTCCATGATCCTGTTTGCCCCAAATCCTAAGGCATTCACACACACACACACACACACACACACACACACAAAACCCAGAACTACTAGAAATGATATATGAGCTCAGTATGGTTGCAAGATGTAGTACCAATATGCAAAAATCCATTGTACTTCTGTTTACTACCAGTGAACAAACGATATATTTGATAAAAGAAGTATAAGACTTGTACAATGAAAACAACCAAGCATTGCTGATATAAAATAAAGATTAAATAAAAGGAAACACATTCCACATCATGAATTGCAAGACTCAATGTTGTTAAAATGGCAATTCCCAATTGATCTATAATTTGTTGTAATCTCTATCATATTTCCAACACATTTTGATCATTTCTTTTTTGCAGAAATTGTTTCCAAAATTTATATGGAAATACAAAGGAATAAGAATTTTGAGAAAGAAAAATAAAGATTACTTTTTCTGATTTCAAAATTTACTCTGAAGATTCAGTATAACATGGAATTTTAACATGACCTTTGTGCCCTGGAAAAACAGTTCTACTCCCATGACTATGTTATGTTATGTAGTCATCCCTCAGTATCCACAGAGGATTGCTTCTAGGACCTCCTCCCCATATAAAAAAATCTGTGGATGTTTAAATCCCTTATATAAAATGGCATTGTATTTGCATATCATCAGTGCACATACTCTTGTATATTTTAAATCATCTCTAAGTTACTTATAAAACACAATACAATATAAATATTATTTAAATAGTTGTTATACTATATTGTTTATGGAATGATGACAAGAAAGTAGTCTATTCATGTTGTACAACCAAAATCATCATAGGCCTAACCACATAGTATTTATTTTCTGTCCACACTTGGTTGAATTCATGGATGCAGAACCTTTGGAAATGGAAGGCTGACTGTGTAGTAAGTAGGAGATAACCTAGGTGGCTCTGGCCTAATCACCTGAGAAAAACAGAGTTTTCCTCAGTTGGAAGCAAAAGAGGAAGTCAGAGATTTCATGCATAAGAAGGATTCACCACACCATCTGGCTTTGAAGAAGAGGAATGGGGGTAGTTGAGAATGGCCTCTAATCAGTAGCACAAAAATGGAGATTTAGGTATATAACCGTAGGGAACTGTATTTTGTCAACAAACTGAATGAGCTGAGAAGCAGGTTCCTCCTCAGATACACCAAATTAGAACTCAACCAGCTAACACCTTGATTTCAGTTGAGAAAATAGAACCTTGACAACTCTTTGTGGAACCTGTAGAACTGTGAATTAATGAATTAGAATTATTTTAAACTTCTACTGTTGTGGAACTTTAAAAGAAATATAAAACTAATAGAAATATAAAACTAATACATACAGAAATATAAAACTAATACATACAGTTTTCAACATAGTTTAGTCCTACCATAATGATGGACATATCAATCAATGGAACAGAATTGTAAATTCAGAAATAAACTCTTAACAATTACAGTCAATTGATTTTCAACAAATGTGCTAAAGCAATTAAGTGGGGAAAGAATCTTTTAATGAGCATTAATAGGACAGTTGAACATTTGCAAAAAGATAAATTCTTTATACCATGCACAAAAATTAGCTTTTACACTATTCCAGCATTCAGGATACCTTTTTTGAAACCCTACTCCAGATGTTGATTTTTCTCAACATCATTTTTTTTTCTTTTGGATGCCTGTTACAGTGACCACCTGAACTTGAATAGTGATCACAATAAGTTATTTACTCTCATGTAATAATGACCAGAAGTATACCCCTTAAATAGGAAAGATAGCAGGATATTACTTTTATGAAACAAACAAAAAATCCTTAATAAGAAAAAACATCTAGTGAAAGTTCTGAGATTCAAGCAGCTGCAATCATTAAGAGATCCCAGAAGAGGACCAGGGGCCTTGCTTTCTGAAATTATGTAAAAGCCATTTCACAATGTACCAGTATCTTGCTGGTAAGTTTGGTGTGTCTGTAAGATTCCTTCCCGGATCCCCTGTAACAGCTAAACCTAAGTCAATCAGCAATGTTAGTCAATAAACTATTTTCTTTTATGGGTATTGCTCCAAAAATGTTAAAAATAAAAGTACTATAGAATCCAGTT